TCAGATGGACAAGATCAATGCACCCTGCATGATACCAGTGAACTGCAAGATGCAGAAATCCAACTACGTCACTCCTCTAATCCTGAAAATACTATTTGGTTAAATATTACTCTACTACAAGGAAACAACACTGGAGTTCAGCCGAGCAGCGACAATATGCAGAGAGATCTCTCTTGCGATGTTCGAGCAAATCGACAAACGCAACAGCGTTCAGGAGTTTCTCGAGCTGGAGTACAGAAACAAAAGACCAAGAATGACGTGGTAACAACGACCTGCCTTACTAATTGTGCGCACGCGACCACCAGCAGTGCAGCGCCACAAAACAGTTTGCACCAGACGCAACCTGCACAACACTGGAACAACAGTACTCAAGACTGTTTATTACTTGACAATGGTCCACTCTCATTCTGCATTCCAAGACCGCAACTGGAGAGTGACTTAGCCCGTGAATACAATCAAAATAGAACTCGCCCTAATCCATTTAACGTGAATTTAACACCACGAAAACTCAGTCAATCGGCCACAACATTACTGTCCCTGGCCAATCGATCCAAAAATCAACCACTTTACGTCAAATCGAGACTGGAAGCTCTGCGAGCCATGGGGTTTGAGCAGGATGACCTGGCACTAACCACAGTGATACGCGAATGTTATGGAGACCTGAATCGAGTGATTGAACGACTTACGTGTTTCTGATATTAGCAGGTTATATGATGATGATTCGCACGTTGTATGAAAACATGACATTTCACATATTATTCATTTGTTTGAATGAATCAGTAGTCGTGTCAAATGAAGGTTTGAGATAAGTCCCTAAAATCTCAGTCGAAAGCCTGTTACCTGGAGAGAAGTTACGGGTTTTGTTGCTAAAAGTTCTGACACTCTCGACCCAACCCGCGCAATCGCAACTGTTTTCCAAAACTTTGTAGTGAATTGTTAGGCGGCCAGAAGTATTTGGGGAGCGTTTAGGATTAAACGGTTGAAGGGGGTGATGGCCAACTAGTTGGGGCTGTTTATCAACTGGAGATGGCTGTGTCGAGGATAAAAGTCACGTTTATAGAGAGCCTGTTAGAAAGCAACAGCAGCAAATTTGTCGCTTTTGAAATGTAGATTTCGCCAGAAATTTGAAGAAAAACTCTTCAGTGAATGACACATCATCTTAATAGTCTTGTTTTCAGAAGCGTAAATGATACTCAGGGGCGCAAAGAAGTTTATTTGTCAAATTATAGAGGATGGACGTTGTCTGGATATCAAAGAAAGACAGGGCTTGAACTTGAACAGTGAGACCTAAACTTGGTGTTTTACTTTGAAAACCTGCCGTGTATTTTCATGAATTAGACGAGTATTAAGGTTGCTTAAACCCTTTGAAAGCCCAAAGCTCTTCAAACGTTCTAAGTGACCCTTCTTTTTAGGAATAAATCTTCCATACAGTTGTGCGGCAAGTGGAAAGTTGGTTCAGCGTTGTTACAAAAAATAGTTTTTTTTTGTAGTATCAAATACAATCCAATAGAATCGGAGTGTATTTTTATGAAGAAACATTAGGGTAAGTGTAGTTTTTCACATGTAAATTGAAAGTAGAGTTTTTACTGTACAGTAATAGCGTGCTGCTTTGCAGTAATTTCTCAATTTCAGTTTTAACTGATTAAATGTTGGCGAAATTCATCTTGCCCTTTGCTATAGTCGCCGATCGAACTTCAGTATCCAAATCCTGAAAATTGCCTTGGTTTAATAGGCGGTCACATTGCGAAATGGAGAGGAATTATTTCTTGGATGTGATTTTGATCTTGAAGCACTAATACAAGTTTCGGGAGTGAAAAAATGGTCCAACAGAAGACAGGGTCGTCAAGAAGTTTTTCAGGAACCAGTTTGATATAAGTCCGAGTATCCTTTGATTACAAACTTTATACCGTATGGGCGAAGCTGGATGGCCGCTCGATTGACATCCACCTAAAAGGAGGGCTACAGGAATGTTGAGGATGCAAACACTTTGAAAGGGGCCAGCATACCTCAGAGCAGATTACATTAGCCTCGTCCTGTAAATTGAGCAAGTACGTGATGAAATCCTGGGAAAAAGCTGTCAACGCTTGGTCACTTTTGGCCAACCGTCTGACGGCGTGTTCAAGCAATCATTTGGCCTTTTACACCAGTTATGCTAAATCAGTGCCGTGAGTAACTGTTAGGCAGAGATCCACGCCAACCGACCAACTACTCTGCTTGGGCCGCACCTATTGTGTTGGTAAAGAAGGCTAACGGGACGATCCGGTTGTGCGCAGATTTCTCCACCGGTCTCAATGCGGCGCTGGATACACATCGGTACCCTCTGTCTCTCCCAGACGACTTGTTCGCGAAACTGAATGGGGGTAAATGTTTCGCGAAGATTGACTTGGCCGATGCGTACCTCCAGGTTGAAGTAGAGGAAGAATCCCGAGAACTGCTCACGATCAATACGCACCGAGGTCTGTTCCAGTACACTCGACTGCCATTTGGTGTTAAAATAGCGCCAGCCATATTTCAACAGATTATGGATACGATGCTGAAGGATGCCCCAGGCGTTGCCGCCTATTTGGATGACCTCATTGTCATGGGTTCCAATCCCCACGAACTGTGGCAGCGCCCTGAGTACGTGCTTAGTCGTATTAAAGAATATGGCTTCAAAGTGCGCCGAGAGAAATGCACCTTTTTCATGCGGTCGATAAAGTACCTTGGGTTCATTATTGACGAATATGGCCGCCGTCCAGACCCGGAGAACATTGAAGCGATCAAACGTATGCCAGCACCCACAGACGTGGCGTCCCTCAGGTCTTTCCTCGGTCTCGTCAGTCACTACAGTTCGTTCCTGCCTGCCATGCATCGCCTTCGAGGCCCACTAAATCAGCTACTTACCAAGGACCACAAGTGGACATGGTCAGAAGAATGTCAACGCGCCTTTGACTCTGTCAAATCCATGCTAAGTTCCGATTTGCTACTCACACACTACGATCCATCGATGGAAATTGTTGTGGCGTCGGACGCCTCGAACTATGGAATTGGCGCAGTGATTTCACACGTATTTCCAGATAGCAGCCAGAAAGCCATTGCACATGCGGCCAGATCCCTGACTTCAGCCGAGCGCAACTACAGTCAGATAGAAAAGGAAGCCTTGGCGATCGTGTTTGCCGTTAAGAAGTTTCATAAAATGCTTTACGGCCGTCAATTCACCCTACTGACCGATCACAAGCCACTTCTTGCTGTGTTTGGCTCGAAGAAAGGAATTCCGGCATATACTGCCAACCGGCTCCAGCGATGGGCCACTCTGCTTCTGGGGTACGACTTCAAGATAAAATACCAGTCCACTACCAGCCTGGGACAAGCCGACGCACTGTCCCGACTCATTGATTCAAGCAGGCCAGAACCAGAAGATACCGTGATCGCAACAATTGCCTTGGAACCAGAGGTTAACCACGTAGTTTCCGAAGCTGTTCGCATCCTCCCAGTGACTGCCGACATGGTCCGCCAGGCTACCGATCAAGACCCTGTGCTGCAGCAAGTCATAAAGTACCATCGCAATCAGTGGCCGCGTACCTGCCAAAAAGACGAACTAAGGCCTTACTTCAACCGGCGTGACGCATTATCACTAGCCGATGGATGCCTGTTGTTTTCAGAACGTGTGGTCATCCCAAAGAAGTTACAACCAGCCGTCCTGAATCAGTTCCATAAAGGGCACCCGGGAACAAACAGGATGAAGGCCCTTGCTCGGAGTTATGTCTACTGGCCTTTGATGGACTCCCAGATCGAGCAAGTCTCGAAATCTTGCCTGCGGTGCGCTGAAGCATCCAAGTCACCGGTGAAAACCTACCTAAGCTCGTGGCCGCAACCGACCGAACCCTGGTCTCGTCTTCACATCGATTATGCAGGTCCAGTGGGTGGCCAACACTTTTTGGTCGTGGTCGACGCTTACAGTAAGTGGCCGGAAATCTTTCCGGTGAACAGCCCCACAACTGCCATTACAGTCCTGGAACTCCGGCGATTGTTCAGTCGGTTTGGAACGCCAGAGACAATTGTATCCGACAACGGCAGTCAGTTTACGTCGTCGGCGTTCGCACACTTTTGTCGGGAGTATGGCATAACGCATATTCGCTCGCCGCCGTTTCATCCACAGTCGAACGGCCAAGCGGAACGCTTTGTTGACACTCTCAAGCGGGCACTTCAGAAGTCCAGGGGGGAGGGACCAACGGAAGAGATTTTGCAAAGGTTCCTGCTGGCATATCGAGCGACGCCAAACCCCAACTCACCTGATGGAGTATCACCAGCAGAGGCACTGCTCCGAAGGAGGCTCCGAACACCGCATGACACTATCCGGCCACAAACGAAGCAGGCTGGTCACCGCAACACCAGAATGGAGGAACAGTTCAACCGGCATCATGGAGCAACTGCGCGCGCATTCAGCGAAGGCCAGAGAGTGTTGGTTCGTGACTACAGCGGCAGACGCCCTACGTGGACCCCAGGACTCATCCTTCGCCGGCGCGGCAAAGTGCTCTACGAGATTCAAGTTGGTCCAGCCAAGTGGATACGCCACGCGAACCAGATCCGGCCGACAGATGCGCCGATCCTGCCCACAGGACCGAGTGATATGAGTCTAGAAATGCTTCTGGACACTTTTGAACTCGGCACCATCCCAGGAAGTCAATCAGTTGCTTCGTCAGAGGCCCAGCCTAAGCACGAATTACAACCGCGACGCTGGACAGACAGGATCCGCAAGCCAGTGAGGCCAATGCAAGTGAACCCCCGGCTTCGAAGCTACGTCAACAAACTTCAAGGGGGAGGTGTTAGGCAGGAATCCACGCGGATCCCACTATACCGCACGTCTTTAGGCGATGCTACGGCCGAGAAGCCTGGCCCGCTCGAGGTTGGCCCAGAATTCGGGACGCTTGCCGGTCCGGCATCAAGACGAGATCTGATTGTTCAACAATCTGGACCCAACAGCCAATCATGGCCCAGTATTGGCTAAATGCCGGTTGCCAATGGCGCATCCAGAACGCGTCAGAAATTTCAGAAAGTTTAAACCGCTTGCGCTATATATACGAAGCTCTGTACAACTGTTCCTGACTTCGTTTTGGGCATTAATAGACCTTGTGCACCTTGGTGGTTGTTTAAGCTGAGGAAAATACCGTTACTACAGTAACACAGATAGAAGACGAGTAGTGGCATATTCAGACATTTTGTACTGGCTAACTTATGAAACGTGTTTATAAATGTACTACACTAGACAGAATGATTGAAATTGGATAGAAAAAGCGAGAAAAAAGGTCAACACAAAGCGGTGAACTTGGCAGTCTAACAATCATAGTCAGCTGTTTCGAAATTGAACACACTATACTCTGTGTGGCGAAGTAAGGTGGTGAGAGCTCACAAAGGAAAGACAGAATAAACTATCAACAACATACATAAGCTAAACGATGATGCTGAGAGTTTCCGGTTGGTGGTGAGTAGTAAGATTGGGTTTTACAAGTAGTTTTGTGCCTACAAATAACTATAATTTCTACCGAAATGAATCTTTCTGAGCAGTTGTATGTGAATTGCCATACACAACGGGAATTGGTGTCAATGGTAAAAAGTGACGGCAATACCCAAGCCCACTTGATCATTCACATTTCTGCTGTGTTGTTTTTTCTTGCAACACCGTGGATTGAGTTTTGACAAGCCCTCACACTAGGTTGACTGATTTAAAAGAATTTTCCAAGCAGATAGGCTTTTTGCTGCGCTCTCAGGGTCGGCTGCTTGAGCCCCCACTTCGCTTTGTCGCTGCATGAACCTCAGTGGGCATTCGTGCCTTTCTCTGACCGTGGTTAAAAATTCTAGCTCATGTTAATTACGGGGAAGGTTTCATGTGCTTCGGCGAAGAATATTCGCGTGAATTTCTGCTTGAACTTCAATGCAGCAAAGTCAGAAGAAATGCATCTACTGTCCAGCTCAACCTGGTTTTTCATAGGCACTGCGTTAAACTGAGCGTAAGTAAGAAATTACACACGGTCCTCGGTCCCTTTATGCTAGGTCACGAAAAATTTGGGATGGACAGTGTTCAATCCCTGAAAAGCATGTCCAAATTATATTAGCTTTGGTGGATTATCTGGTTGTTGATGAGGTTGCAATCGACCTTTAGTCACCATACGGGGGGGATAGTACCCATCTTGCCACGCACTGATGATGTCACTTCAGATGGCGACGAAAAGTTTGCAAGCCGACTGCCAGGCTCAGCAGAAAGATCAGCTGCCGCCTGATAAACAGCTAACCCTCGAAGAATTCAACTTTACACCCCTAATCTTCATCCGTCCACTTACTGCTCACAACAGAACGTTGAAGTAAACGCCGTTTTTTATTTTTCGCAAGAATGGAACGTAGGGAATCGGCCGACGTTGCTTCTTTAGTCGGCTTAAGTGTCAAGCTGGAAAATCCGAAACTCGCGCTGTGCATAAAATAGAATTCTCGGCATCACCGTCGATATGGGAAAGTTAACTTCGGATAGCTCAGCCAGTTCGTATAAATGCCCACTTGTTTCATTCAAGAAGACGTTGATGCGAAGAGACTGTACATCTATCAAGCACACGCTCTCCATATGTTCCAAATCACCAACTTGATCCAACGAATGTTTGATACTGGATATGTCGCGTGGCTGGACGGCTGGTTTTATACTATCGACCAACCACCGGGATGGTTTCTGTTGTGGTGACCTCTTATTGCGTAAAATGGGGCGGAGTTGTACAGAAGGTTTCTGTTTTAAGGTAAGAAATTTCAGGCTTAGTGACAGAGAGTTTATGGAAAATAAACAGGGCCGTCGGGTGATACCGCATCCTAACATGACGAAATGGAGTGACCATGGAAAGTGGATTCTCGTACGCCTCACTAAAGCCACTGTGGGTAGAGCCTGCCATGTGCTTGGGCAGCGATCCCCTGCACCGAAAACATCAAATCGAAAAATCCTGTTTTTCCAAAAGAAATCTAAGTGTTGAGTGAATAAAATAACCAGGCCGCAGGTTAAACAATATGCAGTTTGCCCCACCAGAACGATTCATAGGTTGCGCAATACATGAAGGGGCTTGGGTGAAACCTAAGAACACCCCAAAACTTGCAACAGATTTTTGAATTCAGTGGTTATCCATGACTTTCTTCTTTTACACCCGTCAACCAGAATCAGAAATCTTCTTAGCTTTCAAGGATTTATGTTTCAACAGAGAAGATTTTTTGGACATTCGCAAAGAAGGCACTAAACCTATGCACGTTCACATAGCCTTGGACACAAAAAACGTCCCCTCGTATTCACAGGAATATGGTTTTTATACTCACATTCGTGTGTCTTGCTAGGCTATTTCTCCGATCACTCTCCACAGCCCAGCCGCGCCAGACAACATACAACTTTAGAATCACGGACGCTGAAGCAGACCAAAGTGGGTTCATCGTGTGATTCAATCGGTCTATTGAAATTACTGCGCGATTTCTCTTCACTCGCGCAGCTATGATGCACTCTATCATTTGGGATGGTTTTGTAGCAAGACGCAGACGATATAAAGCACCATGTGTATCTCCGCTTTGATGGCAGCTGTGTCTGTTGACCCCACAAGTAATGGCTTGTTTGGATATCGTGTTATCTTGGCTAGCTCCACTACAGCTTTGGGTGGAAAACTCTTGTTACCTGTTATTTGTCGGAGTTCTTGAGCTTCCAGGCTGCTAATCATGAACACGCATTGATTGCCATCGGCTGAGGGATATGTGTGGGATATGTGAGCAACGGTCTCAAACTTCATCCGCTGCTTCGAGTGGCTTTTCGAACACTGAGAAATAATCTATCGATGAGAATTCCACGGGTGATAATTTACCCTTGGCCCCTAGCTGCGAGATGTCCCTAAAAGCCGAACTACAGTCTGGCTAGTCATCCTTGAGTCTATTGTCACACAAGACAATAAACATAAATGCTTTGTCAAATTACTGCTGGCATGCAATATGTAGCCGAACTTGCTCCAAAGCCGTTGTCGAGTATGCAGAGACAGTGTTCGTCAAGGACTTTCAACAACCCACTGTTCTCCCATGTCCTCATTAACAAGATAATCAACTTGAGCTTGTCTTAAGAAAACAGAAGATTTAACGACTGGTCTGAAATTGGCGCTAGTGGTGTGAGTCAGAGCACTGACTGGCGGAATCCGTCTGCAGTATGCTTATCCGCTTTCATGAGGTGTGGAAGGAATTCCGAGGCACAATTATTTACGCGGAATCTACTAGCGTAACTCACAAATGTACGAACTGAGACACACGTGTTCTACAGATATGCCTTCAGGGAGCAGCTGTGGCTTTACCATTTTTGGCGATACGGCATCCCTCACATTGGTACTTGAAAACGACTTTGCGTGAGCGGTTTTTGAATTTACGGTCAAGGGGCTGTACTACCTTATTTCCTATGATGTGGTTGGCAAAAAGGCCCACATCACCCGCTATCTAACCGAACTCCCATTGAATGAGACATTCCATGCCTTCTTGGAATGTCCTGAGTGTCGACTAGAAGAACTCACATACACCGTGGTATCTGGTTACATACGTATTGTAGTACACAAAAGCCAGGGGACCATTCCCTTGTATGGGTAGTTCGGCCGCCAAGCCCAAAGTAATCTGTCGTATTACCTCTGAGAACCTCAAGATGACTCATTATATACAGATATCCTATCAATAGCCTAGCAATATATCTGAGCGCCTTCCCACTGGTAGATGTCGATCAACTGGTTTAATCCTTTTACTGTTTGAATCTTGGTTGATGATCTGTTATTTCACTGTGTACAGTTTCGTGGTGACAATGAGCGCAGATGAAGATGTTTTGTCTGCATCGACGTCTACACTGACGTGACACATGAATACTGATTCATTTCAGTACTTTATCACGGTTCGATGTACAGACAGACTACAGTTAATTAGCCACTATTGCAACGCTGGAAAAGCAGTATCTGCTAGAACACGTGAGTAGTGAGTCAAGTAGTCTACTGTTCACAAGAATTTTAGTGGATTTCGTGAAGAATAGTTCCACAGACTGAACTAAATGTCCACACAGAAGGCCCTCATTTAAGGCACGAATCAATATGTAACCACACGATGCGGTTTTTGTGACTGAAGGATAAGCGGCGCTATATTCTGTCTCAGTAAAAGCCTATCGCACTGCCATTCAGCAGCTGAGAGCCAAACGGTTAAGTGTTCAACCACAGACAGGAGGGCTGAGGGCTTCAAAACTCCATTGCGTTTCGTGCGATGTGCCTTACTGGTGGTTCCTGATAAAGATAAAACAACTGTACAGTGCTCTTCGGCTTTTCAGCACAAACTAGCCTCAGTGAGTGGATAAAACCTCAGATAAAATATCACTCGTTCTTAAAAAAATTATTCGTGGTAACCTTGAAGTTAGACGAAAGCAGCATATCGGAGTAAAGCGGCCTATAGGCGAGCGTTTACCAATGAGTCGGAACTACGAGAGTAACAGAGACAGCGTACCACAGTATGATGATCTGGAGAGCTTCGCGTCTCAAGGGTCCTCTAACCGACTTCCATAGATGTTCTCCATACCGAGTTTCAGGTCTGTCACAATGCAAAATTGGAGCTGTATTTTTTTATACAAGTCTGAAGGCTGTAACGAAATCGGAATTTTACCTCTGAGAACCTCAAGATGACTCATTATATACAGATATCCTATCAATAGCCTAGCAATATATCTGAGCGCCTTCCCACTGGTAGATGTCGATCAACTGGTTTAATCCTTTTACTGTTTGAATCTTGGTTGATGATCTGTTATTTCACTGTGTACAGTTTCGTGGTGACAATGAGCGCAGATGAAGATGTTTTGTCTGCATCGACGTCTACACTGACGTGACACATGAATACTGATTCATTTCAGTACTTTATCACGGTTCGATGTACAGACAGACTACAGTTAATTAGCCACTATTGCAACGCTGGAAAAGCAGTATCTGCTAGAACACGTGAGTAGTGAGTCAAGTAGTCTACTGTTCACAAGAATTTTAGTGGATTTCGTGAAGAATAGTTCCACAGACTGAACTAAATGTCCACACAGAAGGCCCTCATTTAAGGCACGAATCAATATGTAACCACAGGATGCGGTTTTTGTGACTGAAGGATAAGCGGCGCTATATTCTGTCTCAGTAAAAGCCTATCGCACTGCCATTCAGCAGCTGAGAGCCAAACGGTTAAGTGTTCAACCACAGACAGGAGGGCTGAGGGCTTCAAAACTCCATTGCGTTTCGTGCGATGTGCCTTACTGGTGGTTCCTGATAAAGATAAAACAACTGTACAGTGCTCTTCGGCTTTTCAGCACAAACTAGCCTCAGTGAGTGGATAAAACCTCAGATAAAATATCACTCGTTCTTAAAAAAATTATTCGTGGTAACCTTGAAGTTAGACGAAAGCAGCATATCGGAGTAAAGCGGCCTATAGGCGAGCGTTTACCAATGAGTCGGAACTACGAGAGTAACAGAGACAGCGTACCACAGTATGATGATCTGGAGAGCTTCGCGTCTCAAGGGTCCTCTAACCGACTTCCATAGATGTTCTCCATACCGAGTTTCAGGTCTGTCACAATGCAAAATTGGAGCTGTATTTTTTTATACAAGTCTGAAGGCTGTAACGAAATCGGAATTGCTGAAGTTTTGATTTTTATGTTTTATTCATGAACAAGTTTTCCCCAAAATAACCGCGTACACGTGACACACCGTCAGATCCAAGTCCTTACGGCCGTCGAGGATACTATGTTCACAATAAATGATGATACATGGGATGATAGTGACCTCCTCACTTTTTCTTTTCGATACGTCAGTGGATTTGATCACATAAAATGTTCAAGTGAGCTGTACTCAAAAGAGTTTGGACGAGCCGTTGTCGACATTGCCCGTTTCTCGCATTTGCTGCTTCACTAACTTCGAGAGATACTAACCCGACACCCCTTTTGCTTCTCCGGGTAATGGGGTGCAATTTGCTCCTCTTGGGCCACCCCCTTCAGTTATAGAGTCTGATTCCCGGTGTTTCATGAAGGTGTAGATTCATATGGAGCAGGGCACCGCTTCTTACTTCAATGGGTGCTGACGCTCCTGAAAACGTGTAAGTCCTTTGGAATGCTCAAACAACATCAATACTTTAGGGTATGTGAGGGTGCCGAAATTCACATTTTCTCATTTCAAAGCCCTAATATGTCAATCACATGAGGTCGTTTATGACTGTTGAGGAACGAATTTCACTCACTTCTCAGTTTCCATTATCACCTACAACAGCTCAGTGGTCTCTTGAGAATGACGCATTTTTCTGAGGGATTGTTAACTGCTGGAATGGACGTTAATTGTCCCAAATGAACTAAAATTTGTTGAGGATAACTCATTCAAACTGTAGTAAGATTGTATCGGTATCCGGAATAGTGAATCGGGAAAATGTTTTCTTTGCCATCAAATGTCGTTGGAAGCTTGGATATGCTATCCCAGCCTTCTGCTTCTTTCGTACTCATCTGATCACATACCGCCAAGTGAGCATCCTAGTTATGCGTTGACCCCTCACTTTCTATGGACACACTGTTACTGGTGGAATTTCGGCTCCGTAGACATATTGGATTCGGTCTAGTAAGCTGCGAAATGGAGGCTAGATACAAACACAACGTCCCTCTTGAACACTTTGTTGACGAGGGAAAAGTGTCTATTTTTCAAATAATTGACCAAGAAAATAAATTTGTAATTCATCTAAACACTGTGAATCATATTACTCGCATTACTGTTAATGATGTTTTAAATAAAAGCTGATCTGATTTGGGAATTTTCTTTATCAAATGATATTGAAGCATTTGTGTTCCCCATAAGAGGTAGTTCTGCACGAAAGACCGCGTCCGGATTGAAGAGTGGCACTGGTGGCTTTTTGCCCATCTCATGTTCTAAAAAACTGGTTGTAGAAAACAATACACTTCAATAAGTTTGGTCTGATAATTTCAATGAAAAACCCGTCAATTTTGCTTCAGTGTAACAGGGACACACTAGCTGTCTGAATGTATCAAAACAAGACTTACCATTTTGTACGTGGGAAATATCGATCCGAAATAAACAAATCAATCAACTTCCACCAAAAACAAGATAATTTGTCTTCTGCAATGGCATACCTCGCCAGTTATTTTACTGAGCTAAATTAGCTGCTACAGTTTTCGCTGACCACTGGCCACTATCATAAAAATGTCGATAGCCGGTATTACCTACATGACAAATCTGACTTAGCGGCAAGCCGTTTCCAAAGCCCACTGATCAACTTTCATCACCTACGATGTGAGAGGTACCGTGCACCATATTACGACAAAGGCTTTCCTCAATTTATAGGACTATTTGGCAAAAAAACTAAACATCCTCACAAAATCATATGAAGGCGTTTGCCTTTTCACTGGTAGATAGTTAGAGCAGACTCGTCACAGTACCATGGCAGTGTAAGTAGAGAGTTCGATCCCTCAAAAAAGAGCATCACGACCTTTGAATTACCCTTCGATTGTCTGAACTAGGTTTGTTGCGGTAACCTCCCACTGACTGGTTTTATTCACCATTACCCTTGCTACTGATAATCTCTTCACTCACTCTCGCTGGTTACGTTTCAGTTGCCACGTTAACGTGAATGAACTTCTTATGTGTTATCAGCTCGCCTCAAGCGCATGCCAACCAGACAACAAGAAGTTTAGTGTTTCCGTTAGCTTTGCAGTGTTTAACCACTAGTAATACTCGGGCTAACAAGTTTCTAGACATTTTGTGAGAACAGGGCGGACAAGCTGACGTGAATGAACCTGTTCTATTGATTTGAGAGGAATAGCACTCGGAGCAAATTGTTTACATTGGCCTCAACTGGTCAAAGGCAGATACCTGCATTCGTGGATAATGCTGACCAATGAGGATTATAGTCGATGGCTTGTGACATGTCAAACGGGCACCTTCACTACTATAATTGCCGCTGAAACCGTACCGGGTGAAACAATTAAAAACCTACTACTTTGAACTGTTTGATGGATTTCTTGAGAACAACACTGAATTCAACTATTTCGCATATCTCGTTTATTTAAAGACAGAATGAAGGTTGATGCAGGATAACAAACAAATAATTTAACGGATAAATACACAGGCCAGTGAAAAAATTGCAGTGAGCAAAGGTCATTAGACCCCGGAGCAAGTTGGATAAAAGTACTGGATACATGGACACGATTCAATGCTGGTCTCAGTAAAACAAGGCTAGACACAAGTCCCTGTTGCCTACACAAGTTGGATTTGTAGCACCAAACCACCACCGACTAAGTGAAGTGGACGAGGTGGTTGTTGCTCTGGCAGTTTATGACTGAATAACTGTCTTCGAGAAATACACTCATTTGCAACTTAATTTGGTTTTCACGAGAGACCCAACTGAATCTCTCGTTTATGATATTCTACGACTAAATGTGCTGCACACAGGCCGCCTCATGATTCAGTTGGCACGATATTTGAGATATCGCAGTATATTTTCATAAAGGAAACTATTCACAAGGTTGCTGAGAACTCTTCGACAGCCCACGACCGGTTTTACCCTTCCTGGGGCTCATCATGTAGGCGCAGTCCCCAAGTTTCCGTCATCCTTATGTTCTATTGAACCCGAACTGGACTGTTTTCAAGAAATACACTAATTTGCAAATCAATTTGGTTTTCACGAGAGATTCAACTGATTCTCTCGTTTATGATATTCTGTCTTGTCTCCTCGAGCTCTTGGCGAGCGGTTGTGCTCGATAGAACTTTCAAGCTGATAAAAACTAAATTTTTGAGACCTGCTGAAAAAATGTGGATAACCATGTCTCGGTTCATTTGACGTATTTGCCACCTCAAGTACATTGAAAAAGTCATAAACAGGTGGAGGTGACCGAAGAGTCTGGTTTGTCTGTTGGAAAAGTATTTTCCAAGCTGATGACGTCGTAGGTGGCTGCGGGCTTGTGGAACTCGAATGTATACCACTCATTCTTATCAGACTCATGTGTTCTGTTGAGTCCGTGTCAAGAAGCGGAAGCACTGGACATGAGCTTTGCTCCTACTGGAGTTCAGCAACAGTGTACACCTTTGGGCTTGTCATGATCTTAACGCTGAAAATCGGACATGTGACTCTGGTGCATTACTGCTATTCTACGGATGCACGCTGGGCGCACTTGAATCACCCCGCGTCAGCAGGTGGAGTGAAAAGGTTTACTCAACTGCTCGCACGACAACCTAGTAACTCGCGGCTGTGTCGATTGTGTTGCCCTCCAAAACTTCTCAGTCAAGTGCAGGTGGTCAATTGGTCGATTGAATGTGATGTGCGCCACATCTTTGGCGTTGAGTCACCAGAATGGCTGCGCCACACAACTGTCAAATAGCGAACTCATTGAATTGTGCGAGGATTCTGTAATTTTGAGTTCTCTGGTGAGACGAAATCTCAGTTGGACATTACGAAATCTGTTCACGGCACAATCAGTTTATAAGTGACTCGAAATAAGGATAATTTCAAAAATGAGGAGAACTTCAATACGAGAAATCGCCATTCGGGGCGCCACGTGACCACGTGATTGGGGTTCTGTACTTGAACGATAAGCGGCACTATATCCTGTCCAACTGAGGGCCAAACACAATGCTCTTCAGCCGCTGGTGGCTAAATGATTAAGTGCTTAACCACAAGCCTGGAGGTCGCTGGTTTGAAACTCTGAGTTTCGTGACATGCGCACTGCTGATGATTCTCACTGGGAATGAAACAGCTATACAGTGCTTCCAAGCTTTTCAGGACAGGTCGATATCTCGGTCAAAAACAGCTATACAGTGCTTCTCAGCTTTTCAGGACAGGTCGATATCCCGGTCAAAAGTAGTAGACTGTCCAACACATGACCAGTATCAGTTGACTGGTCTTGTTCTCTCGGCTTTTCCAGGATAAACTGAAAGGCCACGCGGCTGATCCACTTCCACAAGTCTTCTTCTAAGCTCATTTGATGAGTTGTGTCGAGTGTGGCTTGATGTTATATTTAGTACCGTTATACTTCGCTGGTCTAGTCAGATCGATTTGGAGTCAATTATGCCTAGTTCGAGTTCGAATGCCGGTTGCCAAAAACAAGATCAATAATATCGCATAGGAATCTGGGTCTCCTATTATTTACATCGTCCTTATTATTATAAACATAAGCCATCCACGAGTGGATGGATCTCGAATGAGTTAAGGGGAATGATTATAAAGGCCTTCATCTAGAGGGTGTTGTCAACTGTCCTATCCTCTAACAAGGCAGGTGATTCGGCGGTAAATGAAGCCGCAACAGTTGTAGGTTCTAGTTGGCGAACTTGGCAAACTGTTATCAGGCCCAGTTACAATGCATTACTGCTTTTTCCCAAAGATTTATGCCACAACTGGAAGCGTACTAAGGTGCAGCGCTACAGTACACCTGGTGCTTGTTCGCTGAAACCCTCTGGTGTAATTATCGGATGAGATTAGCCTGGGCTAGTGTTAAACCATACTTGTTTGTACAAACTTGCATTCTGTGAAAACACCAAGTTGTGTCGGATTGTCAAGAAGCCGAATTCACTCGGTGGAACAAATTACGACTGACTTTTATCGAAAAAAAGAATCCGCTAGATGGGAAAACAAGCCTTTTTACATGTGGGTACACACAGAAAGAGTTACCATTTCTAGAACACTAAATTTTTCCTTTTTGCCTTCGAGGTATGTTTCATACTCAGCTTTCACAAACGATGTGCGTCTGACTTAAGCGTATCTGAGTGAGACGGTAGAGGAATTTAATAGTTGGTGGAACTACCATCAATCGGCATTGGATAAAGTGCAAGAAAACTCTATCATGCATGTCATCTATTAGTGACAGTGTTCCTAGTTCGAACCCAACCCCACCGGGAGGACTTTGGTGTGAACAGAGTCAGTCATTGTAGTGTCGGCAATGCTTAGCAGCATGGAGTCCGAGTTTCGTAGTGACATCTATCAACCTGAGCTGTGTGCGCAAACGATTTTGATCCAGACTTTTTGGCTACCATGGCTTTGGTCGAGTGATCAGCTGTACACAGTCAGTTAGTATCCGCTTTGACGTTATTATTTTATGTCCTAGTTGACATTCTTGACTATTTCACGCCTGTGGGTAGTGATGTTGAAATAAATAGCAAAAGGTCCTGATGCAGAACTTATTTCTTCTCTGGCAAATTCCATTTGTAAGAAAATTTAAAGAAAACGTATTTTTGAAATTTTTGTTGGGTTTCGTTCAGTTAGGAATTATAGTTACGGGGAGTCTGTGGTCCGGGCTTTTGTGACAGGTTGATGGATGCATCCAAGGCTGTTTACCAACTCATTCCACCAAGTCTTGCGCTATTTAGGAATCAAACGTTTAATCAAATGCCGCATGAATCGTTGAATTAAAGACAAGCTTGAGCCCAACAGCTGCGAGAACTTCAACAATTGTCCATCCTAGAGATTAGATCTACCAGTTTAACTTCATGCCGGTTTCCTTTTATTAGAGAACAGAGGATGACCGACCTGATGTTGGCTGGCATTCATCCAACACAGTGGTTAGGGTGTAGAGTTTTATGAAGTTCTACCAAACAAAAAACTGTAGAGTAGATGTTTTTGTTTTAACTAGGAGCTATTTGGTTCAACTGTAGCACTGTTTCGGTACCTAGCTGCCATGCTATCCGAAGTAAGTAAGGTTATTGAATATCTTTCTTCCATTTTTCAAGCAACTGTTACGTCTTTCACACTACTGCTGGACCATGGGTATTTGTTTTTTTAATAGAGGATGAAAACTCTACTTTCTGTGGTGGCCTCCCTCAGATGTCTTATTTTAGCTGATCTTGTCTTCTACGAATGTCATACACGCCTTAGAAAATCATTCAGCTGTAGAACCCTTCCGGAGCCTAACTGCCATACCACCAGATGGAAGCACGAGAGCTCGGATACTACCAGATCACTCAAGAATAGATAGAAGTCGAGATGCAGAGGTCGGGTTCGAACCACAGACCTTTCGGTCAGTAAATTCGCGCTCTAACCACTAAACCATCTCGCCCACATTTAGTTAAATGCTCCAGCCATGGAGCTAGGGAAGTTTGTTGCTTTATTGAAAAACGACGGTCGTAAGAGGAAGGGAGCTTATTGTAATCCCACACGAAAATGAGCATTTTGAGACAATGACAACTAATGATGTTACCTAGAGGAGTTTATGGACTTGACCTCGACCATGTCTTGAGGCAGGTATCAACTTGCCTGCTGGATTACGTTGGGTCTCACAGAAATTCTGCAAAAGACTTTTTCAGGCCTTTTAATGCTGTCACACACTATGGCGGAATGCTCCAGTTGATATTTCCAGATTGTGAACGGAATGTTAGAATCCAACAAAATTCTGTGGTCTTCGTTTGCTGACAAAATTGTCTAGCACCCAAAACGTCTTCACGGATGCTGAAATTCTAACATAATTAATGACAATACATCCCCGAGAGTCATCCCATTATTGTCTAGCACCCAAAACGTCTTCACGGATGCTGAAATTCTAACATAATTAATGACAATACATCCCCGAGAGTTCATCCCATTGGTGTCTACTTTTTAAGCACACCCGAACCTCCTGCACCACTGTTTCCCCCATGGTAACCGTTCTACCCAAAGTGAGCTTTTTTCATCGGGAGATTCAATCACCTTATTCATTTTATAGTTAAGGAACTGCCAGTCTCACTAAATATTGATAAACTTGGATGTTCAGAGTGCTATTACTGTCTGCGAAGAAGGATTTGGTACGGATTCGACGTTTGCACTGTTTTACTGGAATACACCAGAAAACAAGCCACTTGAGAGATTGGTATTCTACGTTACAAATGAAGGCACTCACACAGCGTAGCACCATCATCCAGTCAGGAATTTTGTGAGTTATCTTCCCACTGGTGAGTGCACATGTGCCCTACAACAAGGGCTCCGGCTAATGCAGCAGTCTAAAAAGACTGGACAGTCAAATTGACCAGTACACTACTTCCAAGCTGAGAAGCTGGCTAACGGTTCGGTGAAAAACGGCCTGGAGCAATAATTGTTATATTCAAAAAGAAATTGGGAAACAACTCGTGACCGTCTTCAGGCAGTGCTCAGGTTGACATTCTGTGTACTTGATGGTCGACGTGGCACATCACCTGCGGATAATATTCCGAGGGTGTCACATCGTGTGCTTGAAGTGGATGCGTTTTACCCAAAATGTTTGAATGACCACAAAGGCGGCTGTTTCCTAAATCGGTGTAAAGTGAAAATGTCTCTATTGGGTTTGCCTGAGGGGATACGCGGTACTCACTGTTATAGCTACGGAGTCCGAATGTGGCACAATTTTATGTCGCGCCTAGAATAGACAAGCTCATCTGATGGAATCCCACTTTATGATGTCCTACATCAGTTGACTTACACTAATCCTAAGGTTTACAACCCGGACAATTTTACATTCGTGCTAGTCAGTTCCATTTCAGTTCTTTGGAGATGGCTCTTGTCATCATAATCATCATCGACAGTATGACATCAGTGTTCAACACCGATGCTTCACTGCCGTTGTTATTAGACTATATTTGTAAGGAGAGAGCCTGTCCTGCAGACCATTTCCAGGAAAAGATGAATTCATGACAGACATCGAGCGTCTTTGTTAACTTAGTTGGCAGAGAATCTGTCTGGTAAGCTGGAGGCCAGTGGCTCGAGTCCATCCTCATGTCTATCTTTCCTTAGCATCAAGTGTACTTCGACTATGCGTTTCAAGATCTATCGAACTACTTTCCACTTTTTAACAATTCACACCACTGTTATTTGAGTATTTGAATCATATCAACCTCTGGTCCTTTCGAGGACTCTCGCAAAATGCTCACGAACTGTACCAATGGGTATCGACTGCTGCCATCATAGGACGAACAAGCTACACCAGATTGTCCAAAGTCGCATGGAAGAAATCTTCGAGAAATCTGTTGTGAATCCTTCCGCGTCCCGTTATTTACACCAATGTTAGTTGTATTTCCTTTCTAGTGTTATCACACAGTGAGTTCCACAGCGAAATGTTCCGCACATTTGGACCGACCTAGCTGATACGACGCATAGTTTGTCAGCTTCTGGTGAGAAAATCACATCAGATTAGGATACTCCCGATATATCTTGCAAGAAAACCGGGAAGATACAACGATTAGCCATTTCAAACCTGTGATTTTATATCGTTATTGTCATAGAAATATACTCTGAGGCTACAACAGAACTCACTTTGGAAAAAAAATATTTCAACATCCTACATTTTCTAACATTAACATACAGCTCATTCATCAATATATCTGGGAGTTTGGCTGTTTTGTTTGATTGACGTAACTTTTCTCATCATATGCGTCGAACAATAGTACTCACAAGTTTTTGAAACTGACCGGGGGAAATCAAGTTTCAGAAAGGTAAAAAAGCCACATCTTGCCCAGCGTTGTGTAGTCGGCTAGACACACCAAAGCCTTTCGTCCCATTGGTTAATGCTACCACGGACGCAAAAGTGAATTTCCCCATTGGTCGCAGTGGGAATGGCAAAGTACTAGAGTGATGCTAACGAGCCAATCAAATAACAGGACAGATTTGAGGACAGCTAATCGATTTCCTCAGACGTAGATTGGAATTCACTCACATCCGATGGAGTTCGAAAAATGACGTATCTTACGGTAGGTCCAGAAACTCATTCGTGATCCATACTGTTGAAGCAGAAGAATTTTTCGGGTTTGACCATTACGTCACCATTCTAGGGTTATTCAGCTCAGTAAACAATTCGGGCATCAACTTCACAATCTGACATACTATTATATTATTCTACGTCAAAGTTAAACCATTTGTGTGTATTTTATTTTTCAGATACCATGTGTACTTTTGTTGACGCTGATACAGTGCATTTTGTCGACCAATTATGACGCCTACATTGACCGTCTAGCGACCGAAAGCGAAGCACTACGCAGGGAATTTGTACGTTCCAATCCCCGTGGCCAGTATGTACTGGAAAAACTTCGATCACCAGGGTACCGGAGTCGTCATCCGATACTAAGTGAGACATCAGATGATATGTATGGCATTTCGCTGGACGACTGGCGAGCTTTTCTACAAGAGTTGCGCCATGCAAAAGCTGAAGCTGCTCGACCTCTCGAAGAGGATGAGAAGATTTCCGAACCACAGCTGCGCTGGTACGGGCCTGAACACTATGGTGAGGAGGGGATAACTCTGAATGAACGTGAGCCTGCCTCACGTCGAAACGAAGTGGCCTATCAGAATCATCTATGGGGTGAACAAAAAGTTTCTGGTGGATCTGGAGAAATTGGTCAGTGGTTGGATTTTGCCTTGTTGGGAGCCCAGCTGCAAGACGAGGATGAGGAAGACGAGAACAACTCATCAATGTTCCCGATTGATTTCATTAAAGACCCCACTCGATTTATGGAAACAAAGAACAGCAGTCTGCCAGCCTACTGTGATCCACCCAACCCGTGTCCAATCGGCTACGATCCGGAGAATTTGTCCACGCCTTGTGATCCGCACGTTGTTTATAGTATGGACTTCAACCGAGACTGGATTCTGACTAAACAAGCAAACGGAGAGTGTGAGTGTGATACAGAGCATATGTACGTGTGTCCTTCAGTACCTCGGGGAAACAGACGTTATCTGGGAGAATTCCATCTAGCGGACAAAGAACCACAGGTAATATCACTTTGCAGCACTGAGCCTCACTGATTATTCACACTCTACAGTTTGGTCACACCTAGAATTCGGTTTATTCAAAAGCTAGTGGGGAAGAAGTAGTTATTCAAATGATGGAAGTAGTCAAAAGTTGATTACTGTCTATCGTTTTAAGACTTCATCCGTCATTGTTACGTCGTGCAAAGGAGAAACCCTCTGATCCGTAAAGTCTGACTCAGGGCTGTTTTGAAGGCACGCGCTAATCCCAACTGCTAAAAAAGACTCCGAGTGCCCAGACTATTCGCTGTTAGAAAGAAGCAGGACTGAAAACAACTGAATCTTTATTCGGATACTAGCGTTCGGATCGCGTTCAAAAGTCAAAACATAAAATTGTGCCGGAAATTCTCCACACCGATCTAACGGGGCGAGATGGCTCAAGTGGTAGGAGAGCGAATTCACTGACCGCAAGGTCTGTGGTTCGAACCCGACCCCTGCTTCTCGACTTCCCCTTTCTAGGCTTGGGCAACCTGGCAGTATCCCAGCCCTCGGGCTTCCTTCAGGTAGCACGGCAGCTAGGCGCCGAAAGGGTGTTACAGCTGGACGACGGAACCGATGTAACGAGTGAGCCATCTAAGATTAGTAGAAAACCTCGCAGGACAAAACGGAGCACTCCTTAAACGGACTTTCCTATATCTCGAATGTCAGCAAGGCTGTTTGATATCGGATATATAACAATAATATCGGGAGATTTTGATGAGGTTTTTGAGGCCTTTGTCGACGGATAAGTTCAAGTAAGGGCATACGTAATTTCACAGATCTTAGTAATGGTCTTTGTAAACTTACTGGGGCAAGAGTTTGGGTACAAATTCTGCCTGTGCCTGTCGTGTCATCATAGATTGAGGACTTGGACTTTCCATTGGCGAATGTCGGGAACGAATTTAAGTGCTATCTCTGAATTAGATGATTTTGGGACCGCTTACTGAACATGCTGTATTACCCTGTTATGGTTTGAACCGCTTTTAATCATCAAAACCCTACTTTTAATATAAAAACACCGCTTTGATCAACCCTTCGGTTGATTACATCTATCTGACTTTTCTGGCCTATTACCCTTTGGGAGATTGAGGAAGCCCTAGTCTCCTCGACCGGGGTAGATCAGCCCCAAAGTTCCAATGAATTTCTATCACAATCTGAGCACTGGGATTACTTTCAAAAGTGCAGTTTCACACAGTTCTTTTCAGTTCAGCTAGCAAGCTAGTAAGTAAGTAAATCAGTAACCAAATAAATGAGCAAATAAGTAAGTGAATGATTACCTAACAAGGAAGTAATTAACTAATTAAGTAAGCAAACAAACAAGTAAGCAAGTAAGGAAGGAAGGAAGCGATCAATCAAACAAACAGGTCTGTAAGCAAGTAGGTAAGTAAGTTAGCCCATTTACCTATTTGGTTAGTTAGTTTGCCTGTTTGTTAGAACAGGATCTTCAGCAAAACCTCAAAGTAGATGTAAAACAGACACATGTGTGTAAAAGATTGTGGCTGCATTTGGTGATCCATTCTATTTAAATAGACATCACCGTTACGGTAGAAATAGTAAATTGTGGTACGACTTAATCGACCTCCTATTAATTATCTAGCATAATATGCCTCCACTCAACTATTCGTCCGCTGAGTTCAACAACCGTCCCACAAAACATTCACCGAGGGGCTCCTTGGCCGACCAATGCTCTTAGCTGGAGAAACTTTGCAAATGAAATAAAACTTTTTACGCCAGAATCCTGCACTTTGTTGCGTTCATGCTCGAAGCAAAAACCATTCTATTCTACATTCATATTTTCGCAGCTCATTGTCTACTGAAGCAATTACACCCTGGCGGAAAAATTCTGGTGGAATACTTTCCAAGCATCTCTGGGACTTGAGGATGCCTAGATGGGGCTCAAAAGTTTGGGCTAGCATTCTGAACTCAAATGGTTGCCTGTTTTAGTCCATCAGGGACACGTAATAAATTTAGAAAATTTAATTCCATGTACGAATACTGAGCGCCATCATCTAGTTTCCAATCCACCGACGGTTGCAGTGGCAACCGTCAAGAGAACTCTGCGCGTCAGATTTCACTACCATCATATCGTTTTCATTAAACCTTACCTACTTTTGATTATTAACTGATCACACATTCGCATTTTATTTTAGAATAGCGCTTTGGATGCCTTGATAAAATAAATTTGTTGGGCACGCTGAATGTCCTAGATCTGGCCACTTTCTGCATTTTGTTTATCAGCCTGTGACCCTTTTGCAAACTTCTAGGTTTAAACATAGCCAAATCAATGGTTTTTCGGGATTCAACTGAATTTTGAAGGTCGATATCTGGTTTAATTCCAAGCACAGGGATGGATAAACATAAGGTCTCATGGGATAACCCATGAGCTGGGTAGACGTCAAACATTGAAACGATCCATCGCACCATATGCGTAAGCAATTTGGACTGAGATACTCACGTGACGCAAGCAAAACCTAGTGGGAAAGTGTCACGCAAAACACTCATTGGTCAGAAAATCACGTCAAGGCAATGCTACTCATACGACTGCTGCATATTTACCAACAGCTGACAACTAGTTTAGACCCCATCACTTAGGAATAGTTCTTCGCATTTCACTTTTTCTTGGACAAAAGGTTCATGCTTACTTGTCCGAAACTCATCGCCACTTTCAGTAGGGTGCGAGGTAAAGATTAAGGATGGTTTTTTTGAATGGATTAGTCGTTTATGATGTTTTCATATAAATGTGAAACTGAAGGGCTGTAACTGGATAGAAGGTTGCTAATGAATGTGCCTGTGTACACTGAATATATTCGCTCAAAAATTTAAGCAAAACCACCAAGTTTGAATTGGACAATACACTAAATACACTGATTTACACGATAATTCGATTTTAACTGGTGAATCAACCGAATCCCAGATGAATTTCTTGTTTATGGCATCCTTCGGTTGAGTGTGCTGTACAAAGGTCATCTCATGTTCCAGTTGGTCCGGCATTCGACTTATCTTGAATATGGGGCATACTACTACCACTTTCGAATGCTCACGACTAGTTTCGCCCTTCTTGCATTCAAATAGAACATGAGAGTGACTGAGGAGATTGACTCGGCGACTATTGGATGAGTACAAGAAGGGCAAAACCTGTCGTGATGTGTCGAACAGTTTCAGCACCGTATGAGTAGTACGTCACGTCTTCAAGGCAATGTACTGCGACATCTCGAATATATTACCGAGCGAAACATGAGACGGCCTTCATGTAGCATTTTCAACTGAGGAAAAACATAAATGGGAGACTCAGCTGGGAGTTAGTTGTTTTTTCTACATAATACCGTTTTGGCCCGGACCCTTTTAATTAAGGTCGATATGATCACTCACGTAGGGGACACCCGGATAGCGCAGTTGGTGATTTAGCAGTCCAAAAACCGTCAAAAACGGTTTGGTTATTCGCAGATATTTGGGTTGTTATGGGACAACAACTTTTGGAACAAGATTCAACTTCTGTAGCATATATCTTCTGACTTTTTTGCGCACTTAAGTTGAGCTTTACAGTGGATTCCTCCTGGGTTGAGTTTAGACGCGCGAATATTCAAATAGATTCCCACAGCCATGATACCACCATGTGAGATTTCACACCCGAAATTAGTTGGCATATCACTTTCAAATCAGCTGCCAACCGTTATCTCAAATATCCACAATAACGTTCTCGCAGGAGTGAGAAAATATTAACTGTTATCCTTAATCAGCAGGTCTGCGGTCCGTCCCGCAGCTTGTTTTTGTTCAGACCACACCTACTTAAATTTCTTGATTATAATCTGTCAAACCCCATTTTGGTATGTGGTTTGTTCCATGAAGAGGACAGGCTGGTTGGAAAACGTTTCATCAGCAATCGAGGTAAGTCACCTGTGCGTTTGTGTGAAGTGGAACGTAGCGGTGCGCTGGGTGGTGGTATACGTTCTGCTGGACGCACCGACTCCCACTTATGGTTGGTTTGCCCTTATTTGGTAATCTGATTGATCGATGTCCACCGGAAGCTTGAACTCGGTCTCCCTTGCTCTCATCCGTTGTTCGTTCCCGTAGAAAGCTGTGACATTGACTTCTCAGAGTTCCACACTGTGACCTATTCTGATATCTTGATAGTAGTTTGGGTGAATCAACCCTCCCTTGCACATGGTGGTGCATTTCAACGGAATCGGTCTATAGTGCCAAGCTTCCGAGAATTCCCTTTCTTGTCTCGTATTTTCGAGTGCCAAGTGTTTGCAACACTGTAATTTGTTTTTCTTGAACACATGTTATTCTGCTACACATCTAATTTTGAGTACCAATCGTTTCTGGCTAGTTCGAGTCAGTTACACATAGCGTTTGAACCAATCAATGCCAGGTGTGGCAAGATACATCGTATTCTTGAATTGAACAGAGTACTTATAGCGATGGGCAGCATGCACTGTCACGTCACACACGTGATCAAGTTTCGATTCACAAAAGCGAGCACTAGACGACACGAGTGTGTAGATATCTAAGACTCTGCGACAAGATTATCCTGTCACTCGAAAACTAAATTTTTATGAGACTTGATCATGTTTACTACAGATACATCTACTTTGTTCTAGAGTCATCTATTTTTGTGAAGTAGCTTGTATCATCTCGCTAGTTTTTGAACTCGGAAGTTATACAGCACTAGGTAAAAAAATTGAATTAGCCACTAGGAGGGTATTTCCCAAGTTCTTCTAATGTTTACTTAAAGCAACCTATTCCGGAATGTGGTGAAATCAGTCGCCTGTCTGAAATTTGAAAAAAAAACGAGACGGTAAAACTCTTTCTATTCGCCATCAGTGGAAGCACCCATTCGGTTTATCCACTACATTTCCAGAATACGATCAGACGTTATTCAACATTATCACTCCGATCTTCAGTTCACTTGAATTTCGCGGTTTTATCTCTTCTTATTCCAGATTCACAAGGACAACCCGTATTTGCATGGTCTAAAGAGAAAGCGTCTCGTGGCAAAGAAGGCATTCTCAGCAAAGGTAGGTAGGAACCGAGCACTACTTTTAGCTCTGGTTTTCACTTCACTCTGACTGCAGAATTACGGATTGTTAGGTAGCAAAAATATGGTCAGACAGAATGTAATCGAACTGGCAACCTTAAACCGAAGCGACAGCTGCGTTTTCACGGTTAAAACACAAAGTTCGAAAGTGGATGCAGTTTCATATCATAATATATGGGTCAAAATTTGAGGTGTTAGAGCAGAATTCCATTTGACACTGGACAAACTACAATCGTATTGAGGAGAAGTGGGCAACGAGTAGAAGGAATTCGAGGATGGTTTTGATTAGGGCGGCAGCTGGATCTTCAAGCCTGACAAACTCGACCGTCGCTGGTAGACACTACCGTATGATTTTGGAGTTTTATGCAGGTAAATAACACTAAAAAAGACACTCGTGCAGGCAGGTAAACGTTAGTGACTTCATTCCACAGTCTAACTGAAATTAACCTCAGATTCCCTTTAATCTTCCTCACAGAACGTCTGGTTGAATGCCCACCAAACAACTTAGATTTTGTATTTTTTTTAATGTAAGCCCCGGCGAGATCGATTGGGGTGGTGACCGAACTCACTTCCTTAACTCCGTTGAGTTTTGTATGCTTGTCGCCGCTCCATCAGAATGCTGGGCGAGTGCTTTTCATCAGAGACGATGGTCACCCTCGCAGGACTTGAGGATCCAAAGACTACGGCAGATTAAGTCAGTGGTTGAATAAGGTACTTTCCAAGAAACTGTTCACGATCTCATCATGCAAGTCTAGTTGTACATTTGAACAAAAATGACACAGGGGGGGGGGGGAAAAAATGCCATATATATGTGTTGAAATATGAGTAAACTTTTACCAGTTGGTTAAAATCGACCAAACGACAGCGATCGATTGACTATTGCAATATCGAAGTTTTCACAGAACGTTTCTGATACCACTCGATGGGTTAACACAACCACAAGATGATAACATCGGTAGCTCTTTTTTAAATGAAGGCCAGAAGACAGAAGTCAGCTGCCTTAAAGGGTGATGGCATTATTAGTGAGGTCAATTCATTTTCCTGACTGCATTTTTTTTAATTTGTGGAGTGAATACCATTTTTCCCGTGATCTAGAATGCCCGTTCTCGGGGCGAGGAATGTCTACATGTCATATATTTAAGAGAAACAGAGTATGAAATAAGACAGTTCCATCCAGAAGCCGGTAAAATTCATCCGTTTGAAATTTTTCACGGCTTTCTCCTACTCACATGCTTGTCTATTACGAAAAAACATGACAGCCCCCTGGACCAGCTATTGGAAACTGTCTAAACTGATAAAACGACCGACTTTATGGGCATGATAACAATGAATTTTTACGCTATCATTTCTGGTAGCAAATGTATACTAGTGCTGCGCTGATAACAACTGGAATGGTGGGTTTTGTCAGTACATCCACGGTCATGTTTTTTATACGATACAGTGTGGAAGAGCAGTGATCTATTGTGATGTAGGAGAATTAAAAAAATCATGCTCTCAGTGTTAATCGAACTGCCAGTTTTCCTTAAAAAGCCGATCTTACAAGCACCTGCGCGTCTGTCTGCCAGTCCCACTGTTTCGGGTTTAGACAGAATACACAGACATTCAAGCAGTCGTATAAACGACTCCATGCAGACGGTGTTTCAGTACACCTATGTGGAGATATCCGGCAGCCAAACAGATGTTAATAGGCCGACAATTTGTAGAAGCTGTTGCACAACAAATCAGGTGTAGTTCGCTGTCTCCTCATGCGTGTACTAGAGGAAAGATTATGACCATATGGAGGGGAGATTTCACTGAAATGAACAGCCGCAAGAAATCGGAAAACATCAAAATATTCCTCTTCCAAATCCGAAATCCAAGGAGACGAGATTAGTCAGCTTGTGAAACATCATTTATCCTCAGCTGCCAAACCGAAAATTATCTACACCTGCGACCGAATCCCGACCTTTGCAATCATATTTACACACCTCAGCAAACCACCTCCAGTCTTGCTTACAAATTGATGTGCGGGTACTCGGTCACCTGCCGTGGTATTTCTTAGAAGATTTGTTGAATTAGACAGCAGGAACATATCCATATTTGGATACGACAGCGTGAGTCAACCCACTCTGCCACATCCAAATGTGAATACGAATCCGGAGGCGAATGCGCGACTGATATAGCCTTCATCGATAGCCCGCTACTCACTTGAAAGCAAGCATTGTGTCGGCCCGGTAGCCGCGTTTCAAGTCGTGTACAGAACCACAAACAGTCTGCTACATTGATTTCCAGCAGAAGATGAAAACAAGAATAGTGTGAACAGAAGGGATCTGCCACATCGTTGGCGCTTTCTTGCTTGCAAAATTCTGGTGATGAAGAGTTGTTCTGTTTGGTTTACTTGACATTGTTCAGTAGTGTAGAACCGAAAAAATACAGCGGAGCACACCAAACGTATCGTACAACAGCCCAATCGCGTGTGTGCTGTCTTCAAGTTTGTAACAGAAAAGTCACGTTTCAAGTTTCTCAAAACGACCAACAGTCGTTGGATGCCGATTGGTCCCAGTAGCGTATTATTCACATCTGAGTAGTGTGATTCTCCTCTGCAGAAGTCCGTGAGAGAAATTCCCTTGTAGGGCTCGCTGTCCTCTATTATCTTAGAACATCTCTTTCTCTCTCTAAACAAAGCATGATCAGAAATCTACCACTACATGGATCACTCTGATCATTCAGTTTGTCTAGCTAAACAAAATAGTCTGAGCTGTCCTTACATGCCCTGTTGACCAGTCAACCAGACTATGGGGCCAGTAAATAACGTTAGAGTGAGGGTATGGTGCCGCCAGCTCAGAGCCGAAACTCATCGGCTCTATCGACAGCACCAGTATTCTCATCAGAAAGCTCTAGAGCCATGATAGATTTCGAACTGGCTTCATTCGAATATCAGCATTTAGCGCACAACTGCAGATTAAAACGTGATCCACTTTGGTGACCTATGATCACCCGCGCAGGTCTGTTAGCTAGTTAACCAGTACCGAACTCTAGTCAGCGGACAAAAAGAGGGATAGCAGAGAATGGTATCCCTCTAGTATCATGCTCACAATTTGATAGCAGCAGTGAGGAGATCACTGAAGCGTTGTGCACTATATTTTCTCACAAGCCCACCAGTTTCAATCACAGATGAAGTAAACCCATCCGGCAGAAAACTTATTGTTCAGACGGCAGATAGGGCATTTGAGTACGTCCTTCATCCAAATTCGTGAATTTGGTCAGTGTAAAAACAAAAAACCAATGCCACCTAAGATCAGAAATGTTAAAATAAGGCAAGCAAACACAAACGCATTGTTGTGTTTTAGAACTACCTATGATCTATAAAACCTGTATCTTTTGTACTCGCTGAAGAAATAAGCTTTAAATTAGTAGTATGGTTGATTGACTTGATCATCGCTTACAATGAAGAGTGAAAAAGGTTAAATTGAGAAAATTTGCTGTTTTCTAATAGACTAGTGGAAAATATAGATCATCAACAGTTCGAAGCCCACTGGAGACCATATTCATGACTGGACAAGAATACTTTTCCCAGGTGGGTGTGTGATCATGACTGAAACGAAATCGAACCACCAAAATCCCATTATTGGGTTGCTTGAGATTGAAAGATGCTCGATTCCAACTAGTTTTTGGCAGTATTTAGTTCTTAGTCATCGTGAAAGTCAAACAGATCCTTTTAAAAGATACTAGTCCCCAAAAATGATTAACTAGGAACATATATAGCAAGCCACCGTGAGATCCTCAAACGAAACGGTCTAGCTGGTAAGGCATATGCTGGGCTAAATGGATGTCACGCATTTGTTTACCTGTCTTGAATTCAAGTTTCAGTAGAAAAAACTAAACAGAGAAATGGAAAATGTACCGACAGTTTGTCCCCAAAGCTCTACGACCACATCTTCCGATGGAATTGCAACACTAGCTACGTGTATCACCATTGTGCTTCCATACTAAGTGGCATGGACAATCAGAACGAACATTTTGGTTCAGAATACATTTGTGCCTCCCTATCCTTTCACGCACACGTCACCAACTGGTTGAAGCTCTCGAAAGTGAGTCCCCGAATCAGTTGACTGTAGCAGAGGATATTGCGCTGATCAACTTTGATCACTTGGATTGAGATAGCTGAGTGAATAAGGCGTGGACGTATTGACCAGAAGATCAGCGGTTCGAACCCAACTCCGGAAATTTGACTGCTCTTGCCCAGTCCTGGGCAATCTGACAGTATTTCAACCCTTGTGGCTCCTTCGAGTGACATGGTAGTTGGGCGCTGAACGATTATTAGTATTATTACTCCTGTTGCACCAGAGGAGGCATAGTGAGCTTTCCACACTCACCCCTCTCCAACCATTCTCCTTCTATTTGTTATAGGACTCAAATCGTCACTACTATTGGCAAGGACAGGTGACCAAACGCGTGGTGAAGAAAGCAGGAAAACAAATGGCGTGAAATCGTTCGCATCAGCGTTGTGTTGTCCTGTCAGTTGTTCGAAAGTCATATCATTCACACAGATCACCGACGTTGTTTGTCCACTTTAGCACAGTGAACTTTGTCTCGAACCTTGCTGTTGTTATTTTGATCACCGTTATCAGGCAAAGTTCCAAAAATATTTATGCATCCCAACGATGAGGGGAATGCAATATATGACAAAAACAAGAGCAATTATCGGAGTCTCGTCCGCTTCCATGACACCTATGGGGACGAACATGGGACAATGGGTATTTTACATAGTGTGTCGGAAATCAATCAATCCCGTTCGCTCATTCGCGACTTTCATTCGGGCAAGGCCGAACAAACGACACTGTGCAAATGTGATCAGGCTTGTAACTGGTCCACAATCGCGTGTGAATTTAGCTTGAAGGAAGCCTAGCCGTAGATGGTCCATCCTTTCGAGGCAAGGTGTGAAGAACGATTAAGTGCCGCCAACCGGACTGAGAAAACCGCCTGTTCATAAGACCCTGCATTGTCGACAATGAGCACGAGTATATGGCAAAATTTTGTGAGGATCTGTCTCAAACAGTTTATGCGTCAAAAGTCTCCGGGAAAAGCAAGTGAGGAACGGTCTTAGGGTTAGAAACAAACACGTCGCGAAGTTCCATTTTGATTGTTCACATGTGTTGTAACGGGGCCAGGCACTGCGATCCTATCAACAGAACGCCAATTCAACTTAACGAGTGGAAAATTCCACCAAGGAGTTATTCGAGTCATTTTCGGCTTTGTCTCGGTTTCCGGTCTAGTTTGTTGAAACAATTTGAGTATAAACCTACGCAAGGATGCAGAAGCATGTATTATTGTAGTAATTCCGGTGGGATCGATCCATCTCAGTAGTGCGATCCTTTTCAATTCCTCGTTGTCTTCGTTAGGCTCTTTTCTGTCAGAACGACGGATGTCCGCTGTCTTACTAGTGATGACGGCAGACGATCGCCCATATGCAATGATAGCCTGTGATATCCTGGCTACCTCCATGGTAACACTGTATGCTTGCAAATGAGCTCTAAATCCAACTACCAGAGATGATCATTAACCCTTCCTTCAAATGCTCATAAACGACTCACCTTCCAGGCAGAAAACTGAAACCGACAAGGAATCGTGAAAAATGAACTCCGGCCCTTTGCGTGACCACCACATCAAGGTATTCCAAGGACTTCTGTGTCTGGTATGACAAATCTGTCCTCCGGGATAGTCTTACAGGAGTAAACTGTGGCACGCTGAATTTACTGTTCAACTGTTCAGGAATTGTTGAACAACTGCAGTTTTTGTACACGTCCCCTGCTTTCAATACTTCCATGTGCTCGGTCCATCAGTACGGACGTTCATATCACCGTAGAGGATATAGTTCGTCACCGGCACTAAGTAATATAACACGCAGCCATTTGAAACTACTGACAGAATATCATTCATGTAGTCATTAAGATAGTAGCGAAGTGGCCCGAAAATACGCTCTTCCGACATGACAATACCGTGAGGTGATTCCTTAAGTTTGTGGCACCTGTTTTTAAACCAGTTGGTCAGAATAATGCCCTTGTTAATTCCGAGTTTGATGTCCGATGTTGTGTATCACCTACTGAAAAATGTATTCAATTCCATTCACTAGAATTTGAGCTATGCTGAGAGATGTAGGTGGACGCGTGATTTCGCGACGGGACATACCGCCGTAAATGCGAATTGAGATGGTCACGATACTACTTACATCCAGTCAGTAGGCAGAAAATATTGTTCCTGAGGTGGATCAAGGAACAGACTGAAGACACGTTTAGGTAAAAAAAAAGTGGGGTATACAAAATGCACCGAAATACACAAAAATATGTTTGCAAACCAAATATCCCGGACAAACCCAATAGATATGCTAAGCGAGCTGTCAATCAACGCGTTGCGGGACCGATTATATTACTGAGTGAATGCAAATGGAGAGACGTGTCTACGTTTTCAAATCCAATTCTGGGACTAAACACATCTGATCGCAACTGACAGTGGAAATAGGTTTGAAGGTCATCGGAAACTATAAAGTGAAGGACAATAGCTCATACTGAAATAGCCAAGAACGGAGTAAGAGGAAGGTTCCGAAGACAATCCCTGAAAAGATTAGAAATCTGGATAAGATGAATAAATCCTCGGTTCCTAATTCGTGGCGAGATATTATAATTACCGGAAAGTGATGGTGTATTGCGGCTGGCTTATTATGCTATGAGAATCCAATCCGAATGGCACTCGGTCGACGGTACTGCTCAGGAAACTACGGGCCGCCTTGTTCCTCCAGGAAAATTATAGACTGATTTCTACACATACAGCTAACCCCGTCCAATATACGGAGACAAGGGAAAGACCCACCAGCACAACCAGATTTTCTTCCCTAAGTGGGGTTTTCCTGATTGTTCAAAGTCTTTATCGATCCCAAGAGAAGTATCGAAGCATTTCGTTCTGACTGAAAATCGAGGCAACTTCTACTTAGCACGATTCGGCTCTCTCTCCGGCACCAAATTAACTTGCAAAGGAGTGTTCAAGTGAGAAGATGGACATTCGAGGACTACATGGATCTGGTAAGCCTCAAGGAAGGCAAGGGCAGTAGTAAGCTACTCAAATTCGCCACAGTATCTGTAAGTAAGTAAGTATCTGTAAGACATGACAAAATGAGCTACCCATGAAAGGAAGAAGGCCTTCGCTGCGGAGTTATTTATTCAGAACTGCCAACTGACCGGTTACAGACCATTGAACAGGGAAACAAAACTCTAATCTGCAGCTTAGTTACAAAAACTGGACACAGATCTCCCGAACGAGTCTTCCTAGAGATTCGTTGCCTCCATTCATTCGTCGGTCAAATCCAAGCAAATGTTACAAAGTGGCCCCACGAATTCCGCAACAGAATTCCCCTTTTCAGTCGACGCAAAGCGAAATTCTACGAACAACACATACTACTCGCGTGCCTCCAGATCAGTAGTATCACCGTGACACCCTTATAAGGATGACTCTTTGTGGAAGAGAGCAATATTGACGTTCACCAGGAGAATGACCGCAATAGGGCTGTTCAGTAAGCTTAGATTCCGGTCATTCCAGCTTGAAACAGTAAGTCATCACATATCCGATGCATCAAACTCGGACTGAGGTAGACTGGAAAAACTGAACCAACTGCAGGTCAGTTGGCCTAAAACTACATGCCTCATAATAAGCCGGATGAAGTCACATAGCCCTATTACTAAACCAACTGAGTGAATGTAAATAGACCCACGCTGTGAGTGACGGCAGTTGGATCGGGTGCCTGAAGTTGACGTGAGTTTACTGAGTTCAAATTAGGGCCTGTTATTGAATGTGATTGGTGGACTACAACACAGGAGATGTACTAGTGAATTATATAATCAGTCTCTCGTGGTCAATGTTGACCGGTTAATACAGACAAAATTTAGAATGGGTATTGATTGAATGAGTGTATTACTGGCGATAGAACCATGGGATAAATGCAATTTTGATAAATGGATGACAGGGGTATGAAATACTAGAGTTTCTTCTGCGAACGACCCGCAAGCTTTCGGCCAGTCGGACAGAGGTTCAGGTTCAGACAAGTTGAACATTGTGGAGATACGGGAAGACAACGCTGCTGTCCGAAGCCAACAAGCAGCCAGTTGATACGATCCCACTCCTCGCTAGAGATATGGTCAGTGAAAAAAAACACGGAAGATTGACTCAAAAAGAGTAAAAGGTAGATTTTGACAATCCGTGGCATCACTAATGAGGTGAGACTCTCAAATTTATTACTAGAGAGGGCGAACTGGATTTCGGGCAATTGCATGTGACAAAAAACCACAAGCTGATAAGGCCGATGGTGAGTGGACGAAAATACATAACGAGAGTCAAAAAAGAATACATGCGAACTAAAGTTCATGACAGTGAATTTATTTACGTCTAACATGCAACCGAGAGGAATGGGATCTATAGATAAGACCTCCTAATTCCAAATTCTACATAGGAAGTCATCTTCATACAACTTGAGGGCATGCTCCACACACACCATTTTCAAAAGTATCTCAAGGTATCTCAAGAGATGAAATTTTTACACATCACCTTTGCTACTAAAACTTCCTATTTAGTCACAGAGGATACACGGGTTAACGATAATTTCTCCTTAGGTCGTACAGTTACGAAGGTTAAAGTATATGGGTAAGTACTACGTGAAATACAGCCGAAAAATCAAGGAACAATGCTACTGGTCGGGATCAGAGAGTTGGGCCGAACTCGCCGGTAAGATGACAGAGTGTGATAGTGTCCGATGGTGTGTGGTAGTTAATCAGGTCGCTGTTGATCTGTTCTTCGAACTTGGCACCATCACTGCGCACTGATGGTGTCCGCTCGAACGGTGAAGAAACGTCTGCAAGTCAACTGCCAATCTCGGCGAACAGTTCAACAGCTACCTGATCAATTACTAATAAATGTGCTGAGCTACCAGTATCCCAACACATTACCAGCCGTGCATGGGTGTGCGTTTACTTGATCTTGCAGAAGCCTTTGATCACTAGAGCTGAAGTGTGTGACGCACGGGATAGAGTTATCCATTTGTATCAAGCTGCTAATCCGGTAAAGTTTCTTCAGAAACATACAGAATACGGACCGGATTCTGACATAGATGTAGCAGTGTGCTCCGAAAAGCCAGTAAGTATAAAAATTACCGTGGTAACCAGGCCTCCAGCTCCTTTCTCGTTTCCTCCGGAGTTTTAGTAGGCTTTTTTGTCCATTGCAATCTACTGACAATCCGGTGAACATGGGTATCGACTCCGATCCCCGTTACCTCATTCCAGGCACATCGCATAGCAAGGTGTGCCATTTTCGGTCCAACACCTGAGTAAGATTCTCGCAAAGTAAGATGTTAAACAAACCTGGCAATTCGCAGAGTTCTTTCACAGACCGTGGAATGTCCCCATCATATTTTTCTTTGAATATTTCGCAAGCCTTTTTAATATAAATTGCTTTTTGCTGTAACGGTACATAGCACAAGTAAGGCCATTAAAATAACTTGCTTTGTAGAATCCAACCGGATAGATTAGCTGCTCCAAAGAACCAGAATCAATTTCTAGCAAGTCCTTCAGTGTGCAACCATGAGATTGGAGTCGATGCATTGCTGATGCGGTCACTTGATCTTTGGTTTGACTTGAAAGCATAAGACTTAGTAAAACCTGGAGACGAAATGTCTGTCCAAGAGTGACAACGACTGTATTTTCGAACCTTGGGATCGGCCTTCCTATCTGCGAGCCGTTCACAGCCCATAACGTCAACTGGAGCATCACGATCTTTACGCATTTGGGTTATATTCTGAAGCTGCAGCCGCCAGTTCGCCGGCTCCCAGCAGTCTCTCTTGACCTGAGGAGGTGCGTTCTCAATATCTCCCACTTCGAATGCTTTCTGTGAACTGGCCCGTCTACGAGGCATGATCTGCAGAATCCAACGAATGAACAACCTTCGAATAGCTGGAAATCACCACCGAAGCCGGTATTACGACAGGAAGTTTAGAGTATTAGATAGAAGCAATACAACCATTCACAGAAGCGTTCACAAGAAAAGTACTTTCCTGCAGACCAACAACCACTACTTCCTACCTGATGAATCCGAACATTACTTAGCGCCTCAAAGATTGATCATGTATGTAGGAGTCAAATGGAACCAGCAAGAAGCCACCACAGAGCTGCGTGGAAGCGATTTGAGCGCATTACTTCAGTGTTTTGAGTGCCAGTGGTATTCAGTCAGGTGTGAGCCTTTGTGGAAGGGCTGATTCTTATCCCAAACTTGGTTTCACCAGCCTGCCAGTCACCGTTTCACTTAAACGGTGGTAAGAAATGTTTCAGGGGATAGATGTTTATCAACCAGGTGGAGTAAACCTATATGAAAACCTAGGAAGAAATTTAGAAATGTTTCATCCTTGCTGGGAATTAGCGTCATTCGAACTAGTGGCTAGAAGGTGAACACTATAATCCAGCCATGGATTGCTGATCAGTAGCATGAACGTGGTTTGGCGCCACTCATCCTTTAATCAAGTAGTTCACTTCAAGCGGTCTGGTGCATAGATCGGTGAAGCGGAAAATAAAGTTATTTCGGACAGATGAATTACCTAACATTAAACGACATACCATCAGGTGGCTGGTCTGTCAACCGAGCTTGATAATTTGCTCGCAAACGTTTCGTCAATAGTTGAGGAGTCAACGGGCGTCCTTGCCTCCTGTGTTCAGTTATTAACTACAGGGTGTCTCATAATAGACGCGAAATTTTAATTGGGTGAGTAAACGTAGCTAATCAGAGGAAGGATGACAAAAAGGAGGTTTTGTGTGCGAGTGTTGGCATTTTTTCTGTCTACGACGGGCCAGTACGCGCATTGAAAGAAACTCTATTATTCCCTTGGTGAAAGTGCCACCGCTGCACTTCGTGGTTACAAAACCAAACATGGTCTCATCAAAGATCCTTTCACCGTGTCGACCATTACAAGCTTGATTGCGAAATTTGAGTCCATTGGATCTGTATTGGATTTTCCTGACAAAAGGAGAAAGTCTCTGAGTGATGGAAGACAGATGGAAGACATTGTACAGAATACCATCGAGCAACTTCAGTCCCAGAGCACCGTGGCATCTTCGTCAATAACTCAGGTGTCTCAGTTGACCGGCATTCCACGTGCCAGCGTGCATCGTATTATGAGACGCCACCATCACCCCACTACTCAAACCAAGTGAGAACTTACCTCCGAGAGCAATTTTTTGATGAGAGAGTCATTGCTCGCGGATTTCCAAACTTTTGACCCGCAAGGTCACCCGATCTCACACCTCTGGATTATTGGTTTTGGGGAATGATCAAGGCTCACGTATATCATGAAAATAAACCGAAGAATTTGGTGGAGTTGAGAGCAAGAATCGAAGAGGAGTGTGCACGAGTGACGCTTGAAGTTAAACATGCTATGTCTCACATCTCATACCACCTCTAACTTGTTATAGAAGAAAGGGGCGGTTTCTTTCAACCTCTTTTGTAATGTCAGTTTGTTCACAGTTCTCCATGATGCATGTATGTCCGCATAAAAAATGATAAATGTTCGAATTGGTCTTTAAGTTTTAACATGGGTATTATTCTTTGCGTCTATTATGAGACACCCTGTAGTACTTGGTATTTCAGTGCGATTACTCAGAGGACAGCCTTCCTTTAACTTCACTGACTCCATTGCGATTTGTGCTGTCTCGACTTCCTTGCAGCAGATGTGGTTCACTTTGCCCACGAACTACGTACAAAGTAAGCGCGTTCCAACCAGCCATAGGAATGGTGGAACAACAACCATGGGTGGAAGATAACTGCCTATTTAAACCAATCGTTCCTTCAGTCACAGAGCCAGAACGGTGACAAGTACGCGACAAGCTTAACGTATGGGTGCTAACAACTGATTACCCATCAGTACCATCGGACATCGGTGTGACCTGCTCGAGGTTTTCGTTCGGGACGGCATTCATCAACCGGATCGACTTTGCACGCATCGTTGCAAGGACATACTGTTCCCTTTGCAGCCGTTCCTGCTTAGACTAAGTTTGAGTAAAAGGAATTCAGCGAAGTAGATGATGAGCTGACATACATGGCCGAATCAACGCCCAATGAGATGCAACTGGTTCGTTTATCCTGAAGGAGTCACTTCTGTAGAAAGCAGCTGATGTACATGAGCATTTCAGACCTGGTGTTATTACCTGACCTGAGAACTGCTTTGAAGACGGTAATGAGCTAACAGCTTGTAACCATATGCCATCTCGAATAGACGTATTCATCATCGCCCAGACTACCACGGTGACCGAGTGATAGGTTTTCTGTTGATACGTTGGCCCATCTAACATTAGGTCTCGTAACTAGTCCAAGAGACACCAACAGTGCGCTACAGATGAGGTTTCGCTCCTCTTCTGCTTGTATTCACACAGTACGTCTAAGTGTTGAATATCTTCAACCTCATCAGCTGCTCGATTGTGTGGCTCTTTCGCTGTTTATTGATCACTTTTCAATCTCTTTTGCTTGGGTGTTTTCCTTGCTTCTTTGACGAGCATCATTTCAGTCGTTTCGATCCTGTGGATTAATTTTTCATACCAAAGGTGCATTGTGGTCATCTTACTCCTTTGATCATGAACAGGTTGGAGACGAAAGAACCCGAACGAGCAACCGATATCTCACAACTTCGACAGAGCCGTAAAACTGACAGCAAGTAGTGTATCATATTGACCTATAAAGAAGAGTAACCTTCACTCGGAGGATGTCACTCTTTGATACTTATTGTATTCATCCGAACAAAAAGACGTTTAGGACTCTACCCGATTCAAAGCACGTGCAAAAAGAGATAGGCAAGACCGATCAACGCCAGGCAGTAGAAGATAACAGAAGCAATCACAAGTGTGCGATCTGAAGCAATGTATTGTTAGTCATAGACAAAAAGTTAAAGGCAGAACGCGGTCAAGCAGAGCACAACATAACAGTACACTGGTACTTCTTCATCATTTAAGCAAAGCGGAGGTGGTCAGGTGGATCCAAGAAATTAAAAAGCAACTAAAAGTATCGGTACTGATGAGATGATGAGGAAGATGACAAAGGGTGTAGAAAACAATTCAAAATGATCGGATACAAAAGCGCAGGGTTCGTCTCTAAATCGGAACAGCATGTACTGTAACGGGGTAGTTAGGTGTGGCAGCTAAAATGATCATTGATTCACTAGGTCCCTGAAGAAAAATAAGCGTATTGTGACCAGATAGGGAACAGATGGGTTCTATGACTTCTGTACAAAATGCAATGAAGAGTTTTTGTTTATGGAAGAACGCTTCTTTGTGACAAGGTCACTATAGGGTCGATTGAGTAGGCTTCCGATCCGAAAGACTAGACCAGACTGGGATGGGAAGTAATCTGTAAGATAAAGAGAAAAATGTTTCATATGGAAGCAGTTGGATGAGTGTTCTTGGTGTACGGAATCTCATGGAAGTGAGGCGCTCATAGAGACCAGTACATAGTCGGGTGTCTTCATCAGGCAGGAGTTTGGTCACGTCCCACGTAGGACATTGGGAAGAAACCAATCTAAAAGTGCAAGAGAAAACAGACGCGTCAGTACTGTTAAGTGGTCGGTAAATGGATCCACAAGAACGCAACCTGGTGTTGTTCAGCCATATCGGGAGCTGTGTTCCAAGCACCTAGTTGTCTTATGAGTGAGAAGGCCCGTAGCACCTTGGAAGGCTTGATTGAAGTGAAATAAAAGATAAACAATAATAGTAAAGAGTCGTTCAGCCGTAACATCCCGCTGGCACTTAGCTAGCATGTGACCCGAAGAAAGCACGAGGGCTGATATACTACCAGGTTGCCCAAGCCCAAACATGAACAGTCCAGATATCGACACTGGGTTCGAACACAGGACCTTCCAGTCAGTAAGTTCGTGCCTTAACCAGCTAGCCATCTCGGTCAACTAAATAAAACATGCTTGGTAGATTGGCGGGCATTTTCAAGTGTGACCAGAAGCGAGAATAGAAACGTTCAAAGCGAAACGAGATACTTACCCTGCCATGTAACCATCCTTTCCACCACCCACGCCTTCCGCTATCAACGGCGATCCGATCACCTCGTTTTAGGCTCAGCAATCGCGAATTGGAGTCATCGTTGAAGTCATAGTTAGCTCGGACGAAAAAGGAAACAGAATCTGCAAAAACAGAAACAAACGGTAAACAACGAAATTCAGCTGCGCACACTCAAAGGTACAGCCGGTCCAGTCAAAGACGGATGAGAGAGGGGCTGATACTGGGGACTCACAGATGCAACAATGAAAATAGATCAATCACTCCCCACCAGCAAAATCGGTGGCTGGAACGCCATTATGCACTTTGCACCACAGTCCATACCCTATCAAACTGGCCTGTTCTGTCTGGAAGTATGACACCAGGAGTGAACAAATATCACGTCGATCGGACGATCAACTGACTTCGACGCAGCGCAAGTAATGGCCAATTTCTTAATCATAAACACTAGTTTACCCTTTCCTATTGTATGCATGCAGATGTGTTCTAGCTTCGTCATATTGAACACAATACACTATGAGTTCTTATAAATGCCAATGAGCGACAGAGCGGAACAGGGAAGAATACAGAAGTTACACACTAACAACTGTGTAAACGACAAAGCTATGCCATTCAGTTCGAATAGTGAAACAGACTCCACGTTATATCGAACCAAAGCAACTCAGCTATTGCTTGCATTCAGCATATGGTTAATAACTAATCGAGGATGGATTACTATCAGGTTCGTAGAGCCTAGGCGGAGAAATCAGGATGTCTGATAGCCAAGTATCGGTATGTAGTTATCCATGTTGACTATCATATCGGGGTTGAACATGTATAGTAGGCCCACACAGTAGGAAATATCACCCGGAGAGGGAATGTAGCGCATCAACTTGTGAAAAAGGTCCGGAGCGATTGTCTCCACTCGAAAAGATCTTTTCTATGGAAACATCATCATAGCTTTGGAGGCAAGGCCACTAAACCGCATTTACTCGGCGACTACAAATTGGACCGGTTACTGTGATCGGTACCGTTGCACGCCATCAAACATCATCAAGGTGTACGGACCGTGGCCTATCCTGAGCTGCATGTGTGGTAGCTGCAGTCAGTACTCTCATCACCCATTGACTAATCATCATTCCTCTGTTTCAAAATTCGCTGGGACTTAGGAAGCAACACTGGGTGAAGCAGTCGCCCTGAGGAACATAACTTGGCCAGTGAAGACCATGCATTGTTAATAGACCAGCTAATGGGTATGCAAAGGGCACAAAATTAGTGTCCCAGCGGATCAGCTGGTACATTAGTGGGTGTTTCGTCCATGGATACGCGAAGTACCGAAAATCTGAAATATAAGCTCCAGTTTCAAGAATGAAGAGAGAACAACGCAGCCTGGGGGTCACAACAATGATATAAAACGTACACGAGATGCCCACTTTTCAGTTATTCTGTGAATAAAACCAGAGCAACCTCAGGATTACTCTAAGGCCTCTTTTTGCGCTCAACAGCGCCCTGTGCCGATTGATCAATAAGGCTTCAAGAAACCTGCTAGCCTACATCTCCCAACGACTTAGAACTATGGTTGAAGCCCAGCCTTGTACGTTGTCTCGGATAGGTCTCGCGATTGAAGATGTGACCTTGGAGTCGAAATAACTAGTGGCATATTGCGAGTCATATAACAGCCCCAGAATTTGGTTGGGCAGATGCTCCTCTGTAGCCAATCATAAAAACAGATATTCCTTGAAGCGAAAACATTGTTCTGGATCCGTCAGCAACCTAGAATAATCTTGAGGTTGTCTTGGTTCTATCGGTTGAATTACTGGGGAAAAATTCAATACAATTCAACTAATCTCTGTCACTTTGTGTATGGCTGTTTTACATGTTTCCAGATGTACGGAGTGTATAAAACAAAATCAAAAGGTAACTACGTTGTTGTCTCCGCGTTCTTCAAACTGATCAAGGGAACTTGGTGTCCTCAATGTGTTCCATCAGAAGAGAAAAGGTCATGGCTCAGCGATAAGAGTACTAAACAAATACATCGCTAGATTTCGAGAATAAGGTGGCCGGTCGATCCCAGTCATTTTCCTCAAAAGGCCGGGTGGGCATTCCAAGAGTGTGCTTTGATGTGAGACAAAACATTGTAGGAATGAAGTGGATGATAACTGTCCTATGCATCATCTTATGCAGAAAGTACTAAGCAGAGTAGAAATGTAGACTGATGTTTCGAAAGCCATAACGAATGGTTCGCAGTGGAGGCAACATGAACAACAAGTGGCCTCCGTCGGCATGTAATAAGGCAAGACAACTTACAAGATGAAGCAACTTAGATGTCTCCGTTCTTAAGCAATCATTCAAGAACACCATATTGAGTGCATCTGACATTGACCGTATAACAGAACGAAAGTGCTGGAATGCGCACGCGGTGAACAGCATGACGGTTTTTGCAGAGGAAATTTACTGGTTAAGTAAGCCCAAGTATTTACTACAAGTTAGCCAGCTGCTCTGTTCGCCAAGCCCAAAAACTAACACAGAGGCGGCCCGTCAACGGCCGGGGAGACAATTTTCAACTAACTACTATGGACTCGACTGACGAACACAGGTGTATGTAGTTGGGGAAGTGTAGAATTCACCTTCACATGAGTTTCGTCTAAACAGTCCTCCTACTATCATGGCGTAATTATTTTGGCGAATCCACACCAAAAAAACGGGGGGGGGGGAAGAGCAATAGTCGAGTT